GGAAGTTATTTGCATAAGAAGCTTCTCTCCTGGATTATATGTCTGACAGGTGTTTCGGCAGGGAGTCCTGCGGGCCCCGATCTTCACAGGAAAGGCCGCTCAAACTTCTGTTCCTTCTCTGAGCTTTTGGGGGCAGGGATTTCCTTCCTCTCATCAGGGGTGGGCTGAAGGGGTCTTCTGGTAAGCAAACATTTGGGATTCTTGCAATAAACTGTGACCTAGAAGGGCCTTCCTCTGTTCCCGCCAGGCAATTCTTTACTTGTTCATGTACTCACAATCACTGAACAGCTGAGGCTTGCCTTGCGTATGCACACTTGCTTTTTAAGAACCTAAGAGAAGCCATGTTGGATCAGGCCAATGGCCTATGCAGTCCAGCACTCTGTGTCACACAGTAGCCAAAACCCAGGAGCCATCAGGAGGTCCATCAGCAGGACCAGAACTCCAGAAGCCCCCCCAAGCACCAAGACTACAGAGCATCACTGCCCCAGACATAAGAACATAAGAGAAGCCATGTTGGAGCAGGCCAGTGGCCCATCCAGTCCAGCGCACTGAGTCACATAGTGACCAAAACCCAGGTGCCATCAGGAGGTCCATCTGCAGGGCTAGAACTCCAGAAGCCCTCCCACGGTTGCCCCCCAAGCTCCAAGAGCATCACTACCCCAGACAGAGGGTTCCGTCTGTACCTTGCAGCTAATTGCCACTAAAAGACCTCTGCTCCTTAAGTTTCTCCAATCGCCTCTTTAAGCTGTCTGTGCTTGTAAATGCCACCACGTCCCGTGGCAGTGAATTCCACGTGTTAATGACTCTTTGTACACTGCACATGAAAGACAGCGGAAGGTGGGATAACTTCAGTAAAAGATAGGACGATGGGAAACTGCTTCCTTTTCCTCAGTGGTCCATTCTAGCCCAGCCGGGGCTGCCTCAGGCTGACAATAATAACTTGCCCAGGAAAGGATCAACCGTTGCAACATTTTCAAGCTGGTGGCAGTACAGATGGCCCGTCCTGTGCTCAGAGGTTGCAGGCACCCCCAAATGTGTGCAAAACCGCCTTGTTGCCGGCTTGCTTCCTTAACGGGAATTACCCGCAATGTCTGAAGGCTGTCCCAGCACCATGGGCCGTGCCGCTGGAGGGCCTTTTTGCCAGTTTGTGGCTTCCTAACTTCTCCCGCCGTGTTCCCCCACACTTGTGCTGCTGGTTTTTTGCACAGATGTTGCATACAGAGTTCCCGTTTTCTTGCTGTCATTTCTTTTTTTATTGTTTTTTTTTAAAGTTGCATTTTTCACTCTTCGTTGTTCACCTGTTTTAGAGTTTGCTGCCGATCTGACACAGCCCTCTCACTCTCCGAGGCACGGAGTTCCTCTCCCATAGCCCTTACAGACATCTACCCGTGATGGTTCCTCATCCCCCCCAGCGGAGCAAGCTCTTGAAAACCGCTCAGAGGGCAACGGCCACCGAACTGTGCAGCTTTGAGGGGGAGAAATGAAACGGTAGTTGAGCCAGAATTTCTAGGGAACAAGCAGGGTGGCAGGGCCAGGACAGTTATAATTATCATATGCCAGGAAATCCTAAAACTGTCTGGCAGCCTGAAGCTCTAGTTCTTTTAGTGTTATGCACCACTAGCTGGTGAGCTAGACTTCTTTTTAAGACGAGGCATTTCAGAGGTAGTTTGCCATTGCCTGCCTCGGCCACATAAGAACATAAGAGAAGCCAGTGTTGGATCAGGCCAATGGCCCATCTAGTCCAACACTCTGTCACACAGTGGCCAGAAATACCGGGTGCCATCAGGAGGTCCAGCAGTAGGACTAGGACACTAGAAGCCCTCCCACTGTTGACCCCCCGTCCCCCCAAGAAGACAGAGCATCACTTGCCCCAGACCGAGAGTTCCTATCTATTCCTTGTGGCTCATAGCCACTGATGGACCTCTGCTCCAGATGTTTATCCAGTTCCCTCTTGAAGCTGTCCATGCTTGTAGCCGCCACCACCTCCTGTGGCAGTGAATTCCATGTGTTAATCACTCTTTGGGTGAAGAAAGACTTCCTTTTATCTATTCTACCCTGACCGCTCAGCAATTTCATGGCGTGCCCACTTGAGTTCTTGTATGACCCTGGTATTCCTCGGAGGGCTCCCTTCAAATACTAGCCAAGGCCAACCCTGCTTAGCTTCCGAGATCTGACGGGATCGGGCTTGTCTGGGCTATCCAGCTCAGAGCTTGCCAGGACAGTGCCCTGGAGGGAGGAGAAGGTGGCCTGGGCACCCCTGCCAGAAGCAAAGAGCCGAGGGAAGGAGGATGGGAAGAGGTAAACTGCTCAGGAGAAAAAGGGTGTTCGGACAGGTTTCAGGCGGAGCAGAAAGGCTGGGAAAAGAGCAGGCGAACTGGGGTAGTTTGTGGGAGATGCGGGTCTAGCCGTGGGGCAGGGTGAAGCAAAGCTTAGGTGCTGGCTAGTTGGCACCTGCCAGCCTAGTTATTTGGGACTGCAGGACTTTGACTTTCCGTGCCTGACCCCGTGAGGCCTGACTCAAAGAACTGCTGTTCCCCCCCCTCCCCCACAGAGGTGGATGCAAATCTTGGCCAATCCAGTTCCTGGTAGTGCAGAGGAAGCCTTTTTCCGGTGCTTACTGTCTGTCGCTGAAACTTTGTGCTTTTCTTGAGAGGCGTTGCACGAAAGGCGCATCTTGTGAACTGGTCTTGCCCTGATGACCTATTCCGCTAAAATATTTAGAAATGATTTTCAGAGAGGGTGTTTTTAGCACAAAAAGCAGAAGCAGGAAATGCCGTTCAAAATAGGAGCCCAGCCAGTGTGGGCCCTGCCGTCTGGAATCACAAGGGCAAGAAACGTTTGGCTTATGGAATTCTGGTCCCTGCAGAGCAAAACCACAGCCTGGCACGGGGGGGGGGGGGGGGGCG